ATATATATATATATATATGAAAAAAATATTTGTATATATATGTAAGTTAGCTAACATACAGTGTATACAGTGTGCTTTTGGTTTTGGGGGTAGATTCCCATGATTCATTGCTTACATACAACATCCAGTGCTCATCCCAACAAGGGCCCTCCTCAATGCCCATCCAAAGAAAATTTTCTAAAGAGAACAATAAGGGGTGTAAACTTGACTTATCAAATATCCAGCTTTACTGATATCATTATATTAAGACATTTGGAAAACATTAAGTAAAACCCCTGCTTATAGTGTATACAAAATTAAATTCCAGGTGACTCACAATTCTGAAAACATAAATCCATTATAGTTATATTAAAGAAAAATACAGAGTAATATACATCTACAAATACATATGCATGTTGGGGTGCCTGGGTGGCTCAATCGGTTAAGGTCATGACCTCATGTTTCATGAATTTGAGCCCCATGATGGGCTATACACTGACAGTGCAGAGCCTGCTTGGGATTCTCTCTCTCCCACCCGCCCTCTTTTGTTCCCTCCCCCACTCACTATGTCTCTGTCTCTCTCAAAAATAAACAAACTAAAAAAAATACTACTACATTACCATGTAAGATCTTGTCAGTAGTGAAAAACTCCATATGCAAAGTTAGAAAACAGTAGTCATGGAGAAACTATTTTCTATAGATAAGTCAGATGAAAGGATGACATCCAGTCTATAAAGAGTCCTTATAAATGAGTAAGCAACAAAATCCATTTCATAGGGGGAAAATGACAGGAAGGAAGAGGTGGTGTATAGCAGAAGAAATAAATAATAAATATGTGAGATGTTCAGTCTCACTAGTAATGATGGCAATGGAAATTAGAACAACAGTGATATTTGTGTCCCTCAAATTGACAGCATTTTAACAATTGGTATTTAATTGTGTGGAAATGCACTCATAAATGTTGGTACAAGTGTAAATAGATAATGACAGTTTAGTAGCACATTTATAAATATAAAATGTACATCCCTTTGGATGAGCAGTCCCACTTCTAGAAATCTCTTCTACAAAAATACACACCTAAAAATCCATCAGTTGGGAATGAGTAGGTAGACTATAAACCCTTTAAAAAGAACAAAGTAGGGGCACCTGGGTGGCTTAGTCGGTTCACGTCCAACTTCAGCTCAGGTCATGATCTCGGTTTGCAGGTTCAAGCCCTGTGCCAGGCTCCACACTATCAGTGCAGAGCCTGCTTGGGATTCTCTCTCCCCCTCTTTCTCTCTTTCTGCCCCTCTCCTACTCATGCATTCCCTCTCTCTAAGTAAATAAACTTAAGTAAGTAAATAATTAAAAAGAACATGTGAAATTGTGTATGGTATGTTGAAAAAGTAATTTAAGATATGTGGGTAGTATCATCCTACTGAATTAAATCATATGTGTAAAAACTAAGGTTTTCACCAAGCAGTTAAGGGCAGTCACCTCTGGGAAAAATAGTAAGATGGATTGGAGGCAGGGGAGAGGACCACTTCTTGACACACTTGTGCATTTGTTATAGTTTTACAGTGAACATCCTTGGTAATTTAAAAAACGCATGGAATGATACATTCTTAGGTTGAAAATTCTTATGTAAAACATTTGAAAATCTGCAAAGGTAAGACAAAATAATGAAGGTCCTCCTTTCCATTACCCAACTGTTGACATTTTGGAACGAAAGGGGGAAAAATGAGTCCAGCAGAGTTGACTCAGTAGAAAGTGTAGGTAAACACAAGGGTGTCTCTGGGGAGAAAGAGGATTTGGATGTGTTTCTCAGGTTCACTCGGGTCCATTGCCATGTGCTGTTTGACGCTAGGGAAGCCGTTGAGCTCATCTACTGTCCAGTAGGTTTTCTGCATTCTGCAGGGAGGCATGACCTACTTCCATTGCAGAAAGGGCTGGGGAGAAAGAATGCCCAACTAAGGTTCGGCCTATGTTGTTGCTAGAATGTCCACGAATGAATTTCAGAGCCCAGCGTCCCAGTGGGCCACCGTTACATGAGGAATACACTTGGTAGAAGCTGAGCTCTGAAGTAGGTACCATGGTCAGGAGGGGTGGGGATAAAGTAGATAAAACATGAAAGACCACGTTGTCCGGTAGAGGAGAGGTGTGTGTGTGTGTGTGTGTGTGTGTGTGTGTGTGTGTGTGTGTGCACGCGCGCTCGCACGCGTGCATGTAAAGCTTAACATTTATGAAGCAATAAAGGAGAACATTGCAATATAGAATAATTAACAGAATTCCAAAGTCCTCAAGAAGAACGTGAAAACTTGCAGCAATTAGGTTTGGGAAATACTAATCACGAGATGCTTCCAGAGGGTAGGAGAGGGTGTACACACCTATGAGTGTGTGTGTGTGTGTGTGTGTGCGTGTGTGTGTGTGTGTTGTGGGGGAGATGCTGGTGCAGTGGTGCTGGTAGTGATAGGGCATTGGGGTAGCTTTGTTATCTGGTTCAAAGAGAATTTCTAAAGGGAAAATAAAATCCCCATTTGACTCAGATATGGCTCATTTTCTGAGGCGATGTCAAGAGGCACAAGATCAAATCTAGCTTGACACCATCCAATACCAAACTCAGCAGTCTCTAGAAGCTGTAGCTGAGCGGCAGGCTGGCTAATGAGACATCTCTGTCCTCCGCCAATGCCTCGGGGGCCCATCTCTTCCTCTTTGGCAAGCAGGATACAAAGAGAGCTCCAGGCAGAGTGAGGACCTAAAAGGTCACCCAGAACATTCATTTTGCAGGCTCCCCACCAGGCCTTTCCAGAAAACAGATGAGCATGGCTTAATAGTTCAGCTAGAATGGGAGCCCATGGCTTTGTGCTTCAACCTGCGGTGGGTTTTAATGAAGCCTAAAGGAGATTTCACACGTTGTCCAACCATTGGCAGTGAGGAAGGAGGGGCGGGGGGGGGGGGGGGGGGGGCGGTGTGCCAAATACAGCCGGGCAGTATCCTCTCCTTTATTCTCTGGGTGTGAAAGGGGCAATTGTAAAATTCAGATGAAATTAGAAGTGAAGATTCAGAGCTGCCCACGTAAACATCGCAGTCTGTCATTAAGTTCACTTTCACCAGTAAGACACATTCCAAAGCACAGTAAGCCTGTTGTTCTGGGGACATTTGTGCGTTTCAGTGGTTGCAGAACCCTCAAGTGGAAGTCAGGTCCCCTCTGTTGCATCTTTTCTGATTTGTGAAATGCTTCTTGAACCTACCCTCTTCCCACTGTCTCCACTGTCAACACAGATGCACACGTGGGTCATCACAGCATCCTGGAAGCCGAGCTCCCCTCTCCAGCCGTCTATCCTTTGGTCCATTCCTCACACTGCCTGAATCTTCTTTGCAGATTTCAGCTCTGCTTGTCACTTTGGAGCTCAGAATCCTTCAGTGACATTCAGGGCCTTTTATAACATCCCCACTGCCCACCCTCCTGACCATATCTCTTGCATTTATGTCTCTCTCCACTTCATCTTGTGCTCTGAGTCAGGGCTACAGCTACCCAAGACAACCTGTGCCCCTCAAAAAGGCAGCCCTCTGGCTTGTATTTGTCCCTAGATTACCTTTCTTTGCTAATTACTCTTTGTCTCAAGATGCAGTTACACCAAGTGTCACCTCTAGGAATTGTCCCTAACCTCCTTTGTGTTATATACTGTCCCCCACACTCTGGAAGCACGTGATGTTTACTTCTGTCTCAGCACCTTCACTATATCCTGACTAGTGATGGGTCTGATTCCTTGACTTGCCTGGAAAACACGAGAAAGGTAAAAGTCAGAGTACCTGGCACATAGCTGGTGCTCCACGAATGTGTTATTGGAAAGAATGAATGCATGAAAAATTTTTTAAATGTTTATTTTTGAGAGAGTGGGGTAGAGGCAGAGAGAGGGGGACAGAGGATCCGAAGCAGGAGAGAGAGGGGGACAGAGGATCCGAAGCAGGAGAGAGAGGGGGACAGAGGATCCGAAGCAGGCTCCGACCTGACAGCAGAGAGCCCGGTGCGCATCTAGAACTCAGGAACTGTGAGATCATGACCTGAGCTCAAGTCGGACACTTAACTGACTGAACCACCCAGGCGCCCCATATTTTTAAAATTTAGTTTGCAGATGTGTGTGGGTCTTTGTTTTTGCCTGATCTGACATGAGTAAAGGCATACTCAACCTGCTGTGTTCTCAGTAACGTAGTGAGGATGAATAAAATAAACAGTGTTAGTCATATGTAAGTAAGTTGAAGACTTTTGCCACTTATCCCGAAGTATCATCAGGGAGTTGTCTGGGGCGCTGGTAGTGTTCCTGAATTAAAGCTCCTGCCTTGTTCCAGGTCAGCTGTTGCCAGCAAACCGCAATACACCGAGTCCCATTGATCCTGACACCATCCAGGTCCCTGTGGGTTATGAGCCAGACCCGGCAGATCTTGCCCTCTCCAGCATCCCTGGCCAGGAAATGTTTGACCCTCGCAAACGCAAGTTCTCTGAGGAAGAACTGAAGCCACAGCCCATGATTAAGAAAGCGCGTAAAGTCTTCATCCCTGATGATCTGAAGGTAAATTGGAACTGGTCATCAGGCTTTGGGCAAACAGAGGGTGGGATCAAGAGGCAGATTAAAAGGGTGACCTCTAGGAAGATCACACAAGCTAGTGAACCACAGACTTGTGATTTCTGATCCCGTTTCTTGGCATGTGACTGTGGGCAAGTTGCTTTCTCCCTGGGTATCTTCTGAAATATGCCTTTCATGTCTTGATATAGCACAGAAAGAAGAAGCAGTAAAAATGTTGGCGTGATTTACAACCCATGAAGGAAACAAACCTGCTGCTATCTGCAGGGAACGCTCTGAAAGCCCCATAAAATCAACCCAAACCCAAAATCTTTCAGGGTTGGAAAGAGAAAGGAAATTATCTGCAGAGGACATCTGGGCCAATAGTTCTCCAAGGCTTACCTTCCCTCGGGGAACTTGTTGATAACCAATGCTGCCTTTTCCCGGTAGTCCACAGGGAACAACAGCTAGAGCTAAGACCTCTCTCCATGTTGCCACCCTCAGAGGACCTGGGTGGGATATTCTCAAGGAAGCTGGTGGGTTCCCTGATGTTGCTGATATGCAGTGTTTACTCTGTATCTTAAATAACAGTCACTGGAATATCTCAACAAAAGGTTCATTCCAAGTTGTTTCTTTTCAGCTGTGTTGAGGGGACACATGATTTATAAAGGAAAATAGATTTACCTTATGAGGTCTGATACAACTAGAATCAAAATTAATCTGACACATTTAATGATATTTAATGAGAATTCTTTCCAAAATTTTGCCATGTCCACTAATCCCAAAATAGAACAATTTTAATTAGCCATGGCTTAGAATTTCTTGTGTTTATGCTTCCTTCCAATCATAGGGACAATAGAGATTTGATTGTATATGTTGGAGGCGTTGACACCAGGCATAATTAGCCTTTTTCTAACTTCTGACCCCCATTTCTCAAAACTAACTGTGGTACAGATGGAAAGTCACTTGTCAGCTGGGAACATGGGAGTTTGGAATGTTGTCCTGGAACCAATTTTGACCTCTTACCTATTTTTGCCATCTAGAAAGAGCACTGGAGGAAAAGGTACCCTGCAGATTGAAATCACATCTGTTGACTACATACTTGAGATTACCTTGAGTGTAGCAGACTCATCAGATGTCAGGGCTGAAAGGGACCTTAGAGGTTCGTTAGACCAAAGTTGCTGTTTTGCAGTCAAAGAAATGGAGAAATAGAAGGGTTAAGTGAGGTGAACACTGCTAGTTAGTGGAAGTCTTCTAGTTTCCAGAAAGGTTGCAGCATGTTGGCCTTGACAAGGGCTACAGCAGGGTCTCTTGGGTGACAAACCAGTGGCTGTCACCCTAAGAATCAAAAGAGTAAAGTTCATAGTAAACACTCCACAAAATTAAACAAGGGGCGCCTGGCTGGCTCAGTTGGAAGAGCGTGCAACTCTTGATCTCAGGGTCATGAGTTTGAGCCCCACATTGGGTGTAGAGATTACTTAAATAAATAAAACTTAAAAAAAAAAATCTAAACAAGTCAGGGAACTGATGGTCAAGACTAAGATAGGATAAGAAGGGGCCATGGGGTCCTGGGAAATTGAGAATCTTCTTTCAACTGGATGCTTTTCCTCATCTTAGCCACCCAATCCTGTGTGTATTTTCGAGCTCACCTCTTCAGCTAAACTGGGGAGCCATGCAGCATGGATTTCCTTTTGAACAGAGGGTAGTTTGGAAGGATGATGCTAAGCAGTAGATAAAACTTCTACCAGCCAAACCTTCACAGGTCTCCAGATTTACAAGTTCAAAGCAAAGAGCAAGCTCACTTAATAACCCAGGTAACCTTGGCAACAAAGAGGCCCTGTGAAAACAGTATGTGTTGGAATTATGCATAGTACTGCTGTCATGGCCATGCCTGACCTTTTCCCATGGCAGGTGGGTAGCTGGCAGGAACATTCTCCTGCCAAGTGTCTTTGGATTTCTTCAGTTGTGAGTGAAGCCTCAGGCCACAGGCCATGATCTTATGTGAAACAAGAAGCAGAGCTGTAACATATTTTTCCTTCCAGTAGAGAGGACTGAGCTAGGGGTGGGTGACATATTTGTGGCCCCCAGCATTGGACGAGCAAACCAAACGAGTGAAAGAGCCCCACCAATAAATGGTCTTCCCCACAGCTGCCCGAACCCTTCTATTGAGCCGTTCCTTTGGGTTAGCGTGCCCCAGGAGAATTAAGCAGTACCAGGATTCCCAGCTGAGAATCGGTTTAATCACCTTGATGTCTCAATACTTTTGACTGTCCATTCATTCACTTGACTGAGATATCTCAAAGGCTTGTATGTTCCAAGCCCCGGGGATACACCAAGGTGAATCAGAACTGTTAGTGTTCCTACTCTCAAGGAACTTCGAGTCTAGCAAGAGAAAGGGATCGCTGGTTTTCAGGAGGGGGCTGACTGGGGGAGGCGCTGTCAAACACGAGACCTTCCTTCCAAAAGACGATGGGGCAGGACTGGGTGGGCCCTTGCTGGGTGGGGGCAACCGGCTAGCCAGATGGCACCTGCACCTGGGAATAGAGAAGAGGACAGGAATGTGGCGCCAAATTTGTCAGCGGCACTCAATACCCTGCTTCCCCCTCCCCCAACCATGCCCTGGTAACAAAGGGAGGCAAGCTGGCTTTTCTGGTCCCCCTCCTTCCATCATTCATTCCTGCCTTCTGCGTCCTCTGCTCCACTCCTCTCCTCTTGTTGGCTCCCCTCTCACCTGAGATAGTCCCCACTCGATACCTTTCCTGGCTCGCCTGCATGTGTGGACAGGTGAGGCTGGGAAATGAAAGCACCTTACAAGTGAGAAGAGCTCTAAGAGACAGAAATGTTGGTTGTTCCCCTGAGGTCAGCTGGTGACCCCCTGGCCCATAATACCCTGTCATATGCCACCAACTCCGTGGCCTATGGCAGTACACCCCTTCCCTTCCCTTCCCTCCACTCGCCCAGCTTCTGCCATTTCCCAGGGGCTTATTCTTATGCACTCCTTCACCTCTGTGCTCCTGTTCCTCTATGTTGGGTACTGATACATCCTGAGTTAGCCCCTCTTTTGCATGATCTTGGAAACCATATGCCCAAGGAACATTGAATGTGGTGGATTCACTGAGACTACCAAGGGTGGTGGAGTTGGGGCTTCTATCCAAGTAACCGAACAGCTGCCATCAGAACTGGAGCCTTCACTGTTGTTAATATGCCTTCAGGTCTTCCTACCTCCTGTGAAGTCCTGGGGCGAGCTCCTCCCTGCTCGCCCCAACCAGCTGGTCAGGCCTCTCCCCCCTTCCTTCAGCCCCTTGTCCCCTTTCCCAAGCACAAACGACAAATCCCACCAATGGCCACAGCACACCTGCCCCGAGCTGACTTATCCAGGCATTCTTCAAAGGACAGCCTTCTTCTCTGAAAGAAGGGTGCTGGTACCAGCTCTTATGAAGATCTTTTTTCACTTTGGTAGATACTATTATGAAACATGTAGAAAGCTAGGCGTGCTTTACAAATAACATTACCAGGTTGTGAGTGGCTGACACAAGGGGCCTGCACGGGCATTCTGTCTCACACGTTCTGTCTTTGTGCAGGGCAGATGTTTGCCAAGGGTAATGCACAGGTATGGGCATAGACCACTGACCTTGGGCCTTCCTTGCAGCCATGGTCCCAAGCCATGTGACTTCCTCCAATGCCAGCTGCCCCTTGTAATCCTGGGGGAGGGAAAGAACTGGCCTCAACTCACTTATTCTGGGTGACAGGTACCTGCAAGTATTAGTCTTGCTAGGATGGAGGGATTTGCTGTTGCAAGTGGCTGGAAAGAGGGGTTTGCAAAACACACCAGGTGGCTCCATAAATGAATTGGTAAGACCTAAAAGAAGATTCACATTTCTTAGTCTTCCTAGGAAGGTTTTCCTTTCTTTAGGGGAGGGGCAAGGATGAGGGGGAGAGGACACCTTGCTTTCACACTGACCACATTTAAATAGTACCCAGGTAAATTAAGGCCTAGAGAACAGTTAAACAGGAAATTAGAGTAAATCATTTAAATGCTAGCCACCAAATATGAGCATACTGATCGGTGGCAGGCGGAGGGTTGTTTTTTTTTTTTTCTTCCTGTTTTTGATTACCAAGGGATACATCAGAAAGAAAAGGTGAAAGATCCTACTTCTCTCCTTGGCATCCCTCCTCCGATTCCCCCTTCTAGAGGCACCACTTTTCATAGCTTGGTATAAATCCTTCCGGGCCTCTTTCTATGAATATACAATATTGTGATTTTTTAACCAAAGTGGGATGAGGCCATACATATTTATCAGCAAATTGCCATTTCCACCCACGTAGTGGTAGATCATAAACATCTTTTTTGGTTCAGCTGGGTCATTATTTGTAACAGCTGCAGAGTATCCTTTTGTAGGACTCCACCGTCATGTAGTTATTAAATCTCCTACTGATTAGTTTTCCCCCATCTCTTTCTATTAGAGACAATGCTGCAGTGAGAATTCTGTGCCTGGGGTGTCTGTCTGTGTGCACATGCATGCAGATGGGTGGAGGCAGATCCTAGAAGACAAGTTGCTTCATCATTGGTAGTGCATTTAAATAGTTGATAGATACTGCCAAGTCGCCTTGCAACAATATCGTATGGACTTCTACCAACAAGCCTATGAGCGCCCATGGAAGAAAAGGGTTCTTAAAACATTCGGCAAAGAAAGCAGAGCGATCCGAATGTAGTTTAGGGTGTGAGGTGAGCCACTTGCTTTCGTGTGGCCCCCGGCGTGGCCTCTGCAGGGCAGAGAGTAAGGAGGGACACTCTGTGACAGGTGCGTCCACGCTGCGGGAGGGAAGCCATGGCGCCCGAGCAGTGGTCTCAGACTCAAACGGACTGTCAGGGAAGGAGATGTGAGGTGAGATGCGTGGGTTCCTGGTTCCTGGGCGCCACCCTGGGCCCCTCCGCGCGGCTGAAATCTAACATCTTGTTTCTTTCCCCCTGTGACTAATGAGCAGGATGACAAGTACTGGGCCCGGCGCAGGAAGAACAACATGGCAGCCAAGCGTTCCCGCGACGCCAGGCGGCTGAAGGAGAACCAGATCGCAATCCGGGCGTCCTTCCTGGAGAAGGAGAACTCGGCCCTGCGCCAGGAAGTGGCTGACTTGCGGAAGGAGCTGGGCAAATGCAAGAACATACTTGCCAAGTACGAGGCCAGGCACGGGCCCCTGTAGGATGGCAGTCTTGCGGGCTGGCTTTCCAATAGATGGACAGTGTGTTTCCCGCCTGATAGCACCACACCCGAACCAACCTTTCTGACATCAGCACTTTACGAGAGGCGTAAACACAACTGACTCACATTCTGGTGTGCGTGTGCGCGCATGCGCGCTTCTGCTCCCGTGTGGTCCGCGGTGCGCGCGCGTGCCTTTGCACTTGCCATGTTAAGGTAGCCCTCTCCTCATCTTTCAGTTCCGAAAAAGAAAGGTGCCGTGTTTTTACTGGACTGCGGAGACGCCTCCTGGGGTCTCCTGCCCCTCCCTCCAACCCCCCTCCTGCCCCTTCCCGCGTCGCTCTCTGGTGGCTCCTGCCTGCTCTTCCGGGACCCTCTGCTGGGCTCCACCAAGCAGGGCCCTGGTGAAATAGTAGATCTCAGTTGTCAAGACTACGAGCTCTTGTTTCTGTTTAATCTGTAAGTTACCATGCTAATAAGGTGTGCAAAAATCACTTAGCACTACACTGCAGCGCTCTCTCTCTCTCTCTCTCTCTCTCTCTCTCTCTCTCTCTCTCTCTCTCTTCAGTTATATAGGTTGCTTTCCTCATATTTTCAGTTTTGGTGATAATTGTCTTCAAATTTCAAGTGCTGTTTAGATTTATTAGATCCCATATTTACTTACTGCTATCTACTAAGTTTCCTTTTAATTCTACCAACCCCAGGTAAGTAAGAGTACTATTCTAGAACACAGAGTGTGTTTTTGCACCGTCTGTACCTAAAGCAATAATCCTATTGTACGCTAGAGCATGCTGCCTGAGTATTACTAGTGGACATAGGATATGTTCCCTACCTAAGAATTTCACTGTCTTTTAAAAAACAAAAATTACAGTAATGCATTTGAGCATGCCCAGAATATCCCCAGGACAGGGAAGCAGAGGGAAATGCCAGGTCTAAGAACGAGGGATTAATTTATCAGCATAGGAGCCAAAAAAAAAAAAAAAAAAAAAAAAAAAAAAAAAAAAAAATTGCATCTTGGAACAGCTTTTGACATTGATATGTTTGCTTTTGTTTTCTCCGCTCCCCACCCCCACTTTTCTAGTTCCCTTTTTCCATATCCCTCTTGATATTCAAAACAATTACTTAAGATTCAGTTTTCCCCGTTTTTGGGTAATATATATATTTTTGTGAATTATACCTTGCTGTTTTTAAAAATCAGTTAATTAAGTTAATAAGTTCATGTTTTGTAAGACCCTTTTTCCTAGTGGTGTCATTTTCGAATGCTTCATAAATTAATGATTCTGGAGCTTATGTTTCTTATTTCGTTTGCTTTTTTGAAAGTATGTGCTCTTATAAAGAGGACTTTTGAAAAATGAATGTAAAAGACACTGGTGTATCTCAGAAGAGGATGGTGTTGTCGTAAACTGTGGTTAATCCAATCAATTTAAATGTTTACTATAGACCAAAAGGAGAGATTATTAAATTGTTTAATGTTTATACAGAGTAATTATAGGAAGTTCTTTTTTGTACAGTATTTTTCAGAAATAAATACTGACAATGTATTTTGGAAGACATATATTATATATAGCAAAGAAGAGGAAAACTATTCCATGTTTTAAAATTATATAGCAAAGATATATATTCATCAGTGTTGTACAGAGAAGAAGCGCTTGGGGGTTTTTGAAGTCTTTAATATTTTAAGCCTATCACTGATACATCAGCATGTTTTTTGCTTTAAATTAAAATTTTATGACAGTATCGAAGCTTGGTGTGACGAATCCCGCTCTAAAATATATAAAGAGCTTTCCTGTTCCCTATTAGGTCTCAGAAAGAAGTCAGTTAACGTCACCCAGAAGCACAAAGTGGATGTTAGTCAAATATTTATTGGCTGATACGGTGTTTTTTAGGAAAAGCATCTGCCATGAAAACGTTCACTTCAAAGTTACGAGTTTCTGGAATGAAATATCACTGCAAGCGCCCCAAACAATTCTGTTCCCCTCTGTGGGCACGTGTGTCTTATGCAGTATAAGGTTGATACCGGTGTTACATGTACGGTTTATAATTTGGTAGATGTTTTGACCTTAAAGGTGATTGTTCTTTTGTTTCACCAAGTTGTGTAATGTCAAGAGATTCTGCTGTTATTGCAAAGATACGTTTTGTGCTAGATTAAAACACCCTTTCATCAATGGGATTTTCTAGTCTCCTGCCTCCAGAGTATCTAATCCTTGAATGACCTGGTGGTCCCCTTGTCCATCCACCAGCAGTGCTTCTGTCGAGTGTCATAGTTTCCGTAAATCTGACTAGAAGGCTATTTCTACTAGATATTCATTTTGTCCCGAGCTACAGATTATGGTGGGAAATGCGAGAGCATTAGAATCGAAATGCATTGTTCAGGTATGCAACTAAGAAAAGAAAACCTTTGGCCAAATTAAGCAGAACTGAATAAGCAATATTCAGGAAGAGATGCAGGTGGACGCAGTGTTAGCTTTTTTATAGGTAGAGAGACCAGTGGCAGCAGAAGTATTCAGTGGCAGGAGTTACTGAAACGGAAACAAGCAATGTCTGTAAGTGGAGAAGTGTTGCACCATTGGCCATCCAGGTTCACCACAGGATGAGATGGTAGCTGAAAAAACCGTATTTATTTGAGCTCTGGTCTTGGAATGAGGTTGTCTATCAAATGAGGGTCACACATTTTCTCTGTGGAAGAAATAAAAAGATCATAATAAAATTTACTCTTGGGTGTGCTAGGAGAGGTTTCAGAAACCTACCTCGTCTTAAAATTTAAAAACTTTTGGAGTCTGTACACGTGCCTTATATGTAGGTCATTGTCCCCACACACACATGAACACTCATTCCTGGACTTGCTTTCTGTCGAGGGCGGTTAACTAGTAAACAAGGCAGTTCTGCTCGATGGCGTAGGAAGCCGTGGCCTGATTTGGAAGGACTCAGATCAAGCAGGGTCAGATGAGTTCTGCAGACCACAGCTATTAAAAGAGTCCTGTTGTCATTTTCCACCTTTTCATCAGAAGCATCTTTCGGAGATTAATTACTTGGCCATTAAAGATGAATCCAAATCCTATCGTGCCGACATCATTTAGACACAATTTGGAATGAGCGGCCTGCTTTCCTGACAGGGTCGCGGTGTCATTTCTGTGGACTTAGACTTGCAGAGAAGGGCAAAACCTGATGAGCGTGTCCTGCCTCATGCAATTTGAGGCTGCAGGTAGGGAATAGGAGGGCTGGGAGAGATCACGTCCTCCTTTTGAGAAAGGGGCCACCTTCTGACCATTCAAAACACTCAGTGGGCAAGACTGTGCCAGGCCTTTCATCTTCCAGTACGACAGGCCTGGGGGAAGTCATCCCTTGAAGCAGAAGGACCGTTTGTTCCAGGAGCGTGCAGATGGGATGTGGCTTCGGGTGGGTCGGATGCTGTGCTAGAGAACCCAGGGGTTCCTTCCGACTCGCCGGTTTTGTGAGGGAACACACAATAATTCTAAATGTGCACTTAGAAGGTCTTGAGCCTAAAAGAATTTTAAGTGCAGCCCCCTCTTTTCCAGCCACCTCTGAGGAAAACAACATGCAGAGGTATACTTGCTTTTCTTCCGGTAGGTTATCTAATTTCCCCCTGGTGTTCCTTTTAAGAAAATTCAGACTTTGTCAGAGTTCATCAGAGCTGTCCCAAGCCAGGCTGGCTTGGCCTGTTTGCCTGTGTGGAGCGCGGACGCTGGGATTTAACCCGGGGTCGGCAAGCTGCAGGTGATGGGGGACAGTGTGCTAAACAGCTTCTGCTCTCAGGGTGCAGCTCCCTGCTGAGGGCTCCTGGGCCCCACCGGGGAGGCCAAGGTCTCCTCCTGGTTTTCTCTACAATTAATAATGTCATTTTAAAAATGAGCAAAGCCTTATCCTAGATCTCAATTGGATTAGACTTGACAATTAAGTCAGTACATTGTGCAGAGGGCCAAGTGTATGTAGAGGAGTGTGAGTGTGTGTGTGTGTGTGTGTGTGTGTGTGTGTGTGCGCGCACGTGCACACGTGTGTGGATATTTAAGTCAAATCATAACATCTTTAATTTTGGAGAACCTTCCCGAACATAACCACCATAACCATTATCCTTTTGGCAACACCACAAAGGTTGCATCTGTTAAACAGGTACAAGTTCACATGAGGTCAGTTTAATTGTACATCGTGATATGGGTGGTGTTTATGCTGTTAAGTCCGAACCCTTATCTGTCTGTTATTCTCAATGCTTAATAAACTTTGAATTTGTTCCTTTCTTTCATGTATTTTTGTTGATAGTCTGCTAGAAGTTAGATTCTGTTCCCAATCCTATCACCAAGAGCCCACTTACAGAGATCAATTACATCAATGACAAATAATAAGTAATTTATTAATGATAAATTAATATTTATTGAGCACTTATGTGCCAGACATTGTGCTAAACACTTACCTGGAATATTGTAATCCCATGTCAACTCTACAAGGTGGGGACTATTGGTTTTTCCCGTTTTACAGAAGAGAAAATAGAGGGTTCATGTGATTAAGCAGCTTGCCCAACATTAGAGGTGACAGAAATGAATTCTGATCCACTGAATGGGGCGTCATTTAGAGAACTGGTTCCCAAAAACGAGTCCAAAGACTGCTTCTGGTTGGACGTATCAGAATCAACTGGGAACATATTCCAGGACTACAGATCCAGCAACTCTGAATCAGTAGAAAGAAAATGAATTGCTTAAAGTCTCCCAACTCGGGGCGCCTGGGTGGCGCAGTCGGTTAAGCGTCCGACTTCAGCCAGGTCACGATCTCGCGGTCCGTGAGTTCGAGCCCCGCGTCAGGCTCTGGGCTGATGGCCCGGAGCCTGGAGCCTGTTTCCGATTCTGTGTCTCCCTCTCTATCTGCCCCTCCCCCGTTCATGCTCTGTCTCTCTCTCTGTCCCAAAAATAAATAAACGTTGAAAAAAAAAAAAAAAAAAGTCTCCCAACTCACTCCCGTGTGTGGCCAAGTAATTGGAAGCACGGATTTACAGAC